CCTTCCTTCCGAGGAGTGGCTGGTGGGTTTGAACTGCCAGCCTTCTGGTTAGCAGTCAAGTGCCTTAGGCACTATGCTACCAGAGCTCCTAACTTCATTTATACACATCCTTAAAAGGGTATTTATTCTAGTTTTTTTCTTTACATATAGGATATTGTTCTGTATTAATCCTTTGAAACTCACTTTTTCATATAATATTATATATCAAGATTAATCCATACTGCTTCCTGTCATCATATTTCATTCATTTTGCCAGCTATATAATTTGCCATTTATCTACTCTCATTCTGACGTGGATTTGGGGTATTTCCAGATTTTTGCTACTGTGACTTGTAATTATATGACATTCTTGTGTACCTGACATCTCATAGAAGTCTAATTTCTCTCTGTACTTAAGGATGGAATTGCTGAGTCAGAGAAAATGTGACATGTGAACTTCTAAAGTAATGCCAAACTTCTCCCTTTCATGTGCAATGCAAAAATAACCCCACAGCTCTGTATTCTATTCAGCACTTGCTATTGACAGATTTTAAGATAATAATAACAATAACTGAATGTATATAAAGTGTTGCTTTATTGTGGTCTTCATTTGCATTACCCTGATCAAGAACCATCGGAACATTACTTCATCTGTTCATTCGCAAAGTCTGCTTCTTCTGTGAAGTATCTGTTCAAGTTTCTTGCTCAGTTTTTCTATTGGACTGTTTGTTCCTTAATATTTTGTACATGCGCTGTACATATTCATGGCACACTCTGTTCTTAATACTTCCCCAACATGAATTTTCAATATTTTCAACTAGTTTGCAGCTTCTTTTGTCACTCTCCTTAAATATTCTTAGTTTTAAAACAGTCAGATGTATGAATCATTCATTTCACAGTCAATGTTTTTATTTAATGTCTTATTGAATAATTTTCTCTAACCCAAGTTCTAAAAGATATTCACTAATATTTTTCTAGTAAATGTTTAAAGTTTGTTTTTGATGTTAGGTTTTTAGTCCACATGTATTTTATTTTTCTATACTTCATGTGATAAGAATAAAATTGCACCTTTTTCTATTAGGATACACTTTTGCTCTCTTCCATTCCCCAATGTTCCAGACCCTACATCCAACTTTACATATATGTCTTGGTCTGTTGATGGATTCTATTGCATTTATCAGTCTGTCCATCCTTGTACCCTGCTGTCTTAAATGTCTTATAGCTTTATTTTAACACCTGAAGTTTGGTGAGGCAAATATCTTCTTTCTTCTTCAGACATGTGCTGTATGAGTGAGCAAGATACAAACTTCTGTTTTGCATCTATTTTTACACAAACTGGCCTGGCCTAGCTAATGACTGTATTGAGATTAATCTACACTGCTTCCTATCACCATATTTCATCCATTTTGACAGCTATATAATTTGCCATTTATCTACTCTCATTCTGATGTGGGTAAGGGTTATTTCCAGATTTTCCTACTGGGACTTTTGCTTCTTCCCTATTGACTACAAGCTCTTTGAGGGCCCAGACCATACTTCATTCAACTTTGCTTTTGTCAAGGAGCCCTGGTTGCATGATGATTAAAGCATTCAAGTGCAAATCTAAAGGGTAAGGGTTCAAACCCACCAGCTTCTCTGTGAAAGATAGATGTGGTGGTCTGCTTCCTTACAGCCTTGGAAACCCTGTGGGCAGTTTTACTCTGTCCTACAGGGTCACTATAAGGAGCCCTGGTGATCCAGTGCCTAAGGCATTTGACTGCTAACCGGAAAGTGTGTGGTTCCAACCCTCCAGCCACTCCTGGAAGGAAAACAGGCAATCTACTTCCATAAAGATTTACTGTATTGGAAACCCAGTGGGGGTCGCTATGGGTCAGAATCGACTCAGTGGCAGTGTGCTTGGAGTATGGTTTATAGGTTTGTTATAAGTTGGACATAGTGGCAGTAGGCTTTTTGGTTTTAAAGGCATATAATCACTGATGAATTTAAAGAGTAAATGTTCCCAAAACAATAATTAACAGATGTAGAAAAATCCAGGAATACTAATTTTAAAAGCAAAAATTCCCTCAGGCCTTAAATAAACCATAGACAAGAGTCATAATAAGCTACTGAAGGTGACAAGGATCCTGAGGTTGCACCCTCACTGAGATGCTGGCAGGAAAAGAGCTAGCTAAGCCATCTGGCCACATTTCCGGATGATCACAGTCAGAGCCAGGGTTCTGAGTTATGTGAACTGTAGCAGTAAGTACAATGTTCTCAAGAGAGTTATTTGTGTGAGATAATTATAGAAGTCCTGGGCAGTGTTAAAACACTTTTGCCCACATTCTCCCTTTGAAAAGCTCTAAAACAATGCCTAGGACGCTCGTTCCTTAAAAAGATGCTTTCCATCTTATTGTGGTCCTGAACAGTAACACACATGTGTGAAAAATCTGAATGACCACAGATGAGGTTTATTTATAATTTCAGAAGAATTTCATTTTATACAATACAAACTAACTCACTGCTGTGGAGTCGGATCCAACTCATAGTGACCCCTCCTTGGGTTTCTGAGGCGGTATCACCACGGAAGTAGGTTGCCCAACCTTCCTTCTGAGGAGTGGCTGGTGGGTTTGAACCACTGGCCTTCTGGTTAGCAGTCAAATGCCTTAGGCACTGTGCCACCACAGCTCCTTTTATACAATATAGCATCTTGAAAACAGAAATAAATGATAAGACAGACTGGAAACTGCCTTTCAAGGTCTCAATTCCCCAATGTTAAAAGAAGATGCTGAGGTTCTTCCAAAATCCCTTCTAGCTTTAAGGTCCTACACTTCTGACTTTTCCTTATTTAATGGGACACTTAAGCAGAAGCAGGAAAGCAGGATTCTTATGTCAAATATATCTTTTTATCTAGAATTATTTGGTGTGGTAATTAAGTGCCCATCAGGATTCCTGTATATTGTTGGCCAAGTACAATGGCAAAATTATATTGTCACTTAGAATGATAAATATACTTCTCAAGTATGCATTTAAATTGTAATGAAGGCACCTTCAGTCTTCAAGTAAATAGCTTAACTCAATAGGAAATATAAAGATGACCAGCGATACCAGGGAATCAAGAGTGTATGCATTTCAATCCAGTGACTCCCTCTTCCTAGGGCTGATCTACTTTCTTTAGCTCACGTGTATGCTTGTATTTTCCAAATTGGCTGTTCATATGAGTCTCTGAGATTCCTCAAGTAGAGCCTGAGATGAGGACTTGTTGAAAGTCTATTAGAAACTATGAAGCACATGTAAAGCATGCCTCAGAATTGTCTCTCCTGACCCAAAATGCACAAACTGCAGAAGATAAAATAGATGAATGGGGCCTTCTAAAAATTAAATTTTTATGTGTTTCCAAAGACTTTTCCAAAAGAGTCAAAAGAGAAACTGCAGATTGGGAAAAAAATATTTGGCAATGACCTTTCTGACAAGGGACTTATCTCTAAAATTTATAGAAAACTCCAATAACTCAACAACAAAAAGACAAATAATCCAATTAAAAAATGGGCAGAAGACATAAATAGACACTTCACCAAAGAGGACATTCAGGCAGCCAACAAATACGTGAAGAAATGTTCACAATCATTAGCCATTAGAAAGATGCAAATCAAAACAACAATGAGATACCATCTCACCCCAGCATTCGTAGCAAAGTTCAACAAAATGGAAAATAACAAATGCTGGCAAGGATGCAGAGAAATTGGGATTCTCATACACTGCTGGTGGGACTGTGAAATGATACAACCATTGTGGAAAGCAGTGTGGTGATTCTTTAAAAAGTTGGAATTAAAAATATCATTTGACCCAGCAATTCCATTACTTGGTATATATCCTAAAGAAGTGACAGCCAGGATAAGAAGAGACATATGCACATCCATGTTCATCACAACACTATTTACAATAGCAAAAAAGATGGAAACAGCCTAGGTGCCCATCAACAGAAGAATGGATAAACCAACTATGGTACATACACACAATGGAATACTATGCAACCCTAAAGAATAATGTAGAATCTGCAAAATACCACATAATGTGGATGCTTGGAGAACATTAAGCTAAGTGAAATAAGTTGATCACAGAAGGACACATATTGTATTAATTCATTATTATAAAAAGTCAAAGAAAGGTTTATATATGGAAGAAAATTTTCTTTGTTGTTTACCAGGGGTAGGAGGGGAGGAGAGGGAACACTGCTAGACAGGTAGAGATAGTATTGATTTGGGTGAAGAGAAGGGCAATGTACCAAATGTGAGTGATCAACACGGCAGCATTAAAGATGAGGAAGACATAGAGAGGTGTATAGGAGGTACAGACAACAAAGATGAATCCTTTTGTACATACAGTACTGCGTTGTCAGTGATGGCAAACATTGATCTATGGATGGATAGATGGGTGGACAGTCTGAACGATTAGGTATGTCTATGCAGGGTGGCATAAGGTTGGGCAATCTACTTCCATAGTGATACTGCCTTGGAAACCCAAGGAGGGGTCACTATGAGTCAGGCCGACTCGATAGCACATAACAACAACAACAACAACATACAAGGGGGCATGTGCCCATGACCATGTATAGCGTTGGAAGACAATGTTTCTACAAGTGTATTTCTAGGTATATAGTAGAGCTGACAAGGGACAAGGTTGTGGTCATTCTTGGCCAAAGCCAGGTACCCAGAGGGAGCAAGTAGTTGGACCTGTGGGCTTGAGAGCATAGTCTCAGGGGACATTAAGCTCAATTGGCATAACATACTACACAAAAACTTTGTTCTACATCCTATTTTGGCAAGTACCGATTGGCATCTTAAAAGCTTGCAAATGGCCACCTAGATGCAATGATGAGTTTCTCCTCATCCAGAGTAAGAAGAATAAAAAAAAAACAAAGACACATGGAAACAATTAGTCCAAGGGACTAGTACACCATGCAACCTCAGCCTATATGATTATGAGACTAGAAGAACTAGATGGTGCCTGGCTACCACTGTCAACCACTCAGAAGGGGATCTATGTTGGAGATCCTGGATCCTGGATAGAGTGCGAGAACAATGTGGAACAAAACTCAAAATCATTTTTTAAAAAAAGGGACCAGGTTTGCTAGTCTGATAGAGCCTGGTGGAAGCCCTGAGATTACGGCCCCTAGCTGCTTTTCAGGTCTGGAATTGAACCCACTTCTGTGGCTTCCAGCCAAATAAAAGACAAACATAGGAGCTGAAGATTTACATTAGGTAAATACACTCCTTGGAGAGATCAATCATGGAAGAATAGAAGGGCTGTGTATGCACAGCGAGACAGCTCGGGAGGCAGGAGTGCATGGGAGGGAAGGACACAGAGAATAGGTAGCTATGGGGACGAAGTGGGAGGAGAACTGTTACATTGTGGGAGATTACAGTCAATGTCATGAGACAAAGTGTACGTGAACTGCTGTATGGAAGATGAATTTGCTCTGTAAACCTTCACACAAATCACAATAAAATTAAAAAAAGAAAAAGAATTGTCCCTCCTGAAAACAAGAGACTGGGGCATGTATTTCTGGACTACCCACTCCATGGGATGATGGTTCCTTTGTGGCCATTAACTCTCCAACATTTCAGGGCTGCCTTGTGCAATCTGTGGCTCTGATAAAAGCTCTGAGGCCAACATCCGAGAGATGCTCCCAGGACTTGACCTGAGATGTCGTTAGGTGTACAGGGAACACCTGACACTGCTGGAGCTGAAGTCAGAGGTGAGCCAAGATGGAGCATGGGGCACAACATCTTCTACAACATAAGTCAGGTGAAATAAATGCTTTACATGAAAGGACCCTCACTTGTACTTCTCACTAAACTGCCCTTTAAAAAAAGTTATGATGAGTATTTGCTGCACAAAAATTATGGGAAATTTATATTCAGGCAGAAACAGTCCTTAAAAACTCAACTGCCCATGTAATAATGATTGTGCATTATTAAAATAAAAATAACAACAATAATATTAAGTCTTCCCAGTATCAGACTCTGTATCTATCATCTTGTACATCATTCTAAAGATTATTCCCTGAGCCCCTTTTATTCCATTATTCATGAATAACATCTGCTTATAAACTACTGACTTCTCTACTCTTCTGAAATGAGGAAGCCAAATAAATAAATATTTTACTCTCCAAGTACTGGAGAAAAATATATTTTACAGTTCACTGTCACTGTTGTTTTCTTTTGCTGGTTCTCTGCACATAAAAACGAAGGCCTCTGAACGTGTTGTTCCTCTGTGACAAATGATGGATGAAGAAGATGTCAACAGGGGCATGAAAAAGGCCACACTGACTTCAAGCTTAGTTTTTGACAAAGAGCTATAAATACACAGACAGGCACCAAAAATCCTTTCCAGATGAAAAGCAAACACTGAAAGTGAGAGAGACATTAGTTTGCAACTTAATCTTCTAGGGTACTACACAAATGCAAGAGTCAGCCGCATTTCATTAGTGATGGAGTGTTTTTAAATTCTTGCCTGGAAACCATGTGTCCTATGGGTTTGCGATGAGTTGGAATGGACTCAATGGCAGAAGGTTTCTTTAAAGTGGCTGTTACCATGCACAATATTTTAAATCCACTAGAGATAATGCAGGAGCCAGAAAGTAACATTATCTCTTGTTCCCAGAAATGACTGACACTAGGTTTCCTGTGCATGGCTCACTACCAAAGAGAACTTCTCTCTTACAGGCAGCATCCCGTATACTTTCAACCCCATGACTTCCAAATTCAAATGGGAATAATTTGATAAGGACGGTCATGGGGGAAAAAAAAACAAAACTGACTTACCAGTTTCTGCCCGGACAGCACTTCTAGAAGAGCCAGTAGTTTGATACCATCTTTCATGTCTTCAAAAAGATCTTCTACCACCATTGGAGGTTTCCGCTGTAAAACACAAAGGAATAACTGTAGAAAATGCTTCCCTCCATCTCCATCTCTCCATCATTTCTCTCTCTTTCATGCCTTGGCTGCTTATCGTAGTAAAGTTTGTTGTTATTGTTGTTATATGCCGTTGAGTTGGCCCCGACTCATAGCGACCCCTCCTTGGGTTTCCGAGGCAGTATCACTACAGAAGTAGGAT